TTATTGCCTCGTATGCTTGCCCTGTGATGAGGCTTCCTCTGAGGGCCTTTGGGATTGCTTGTGTGTTTTTGGTATGCTTGAGTTGCCTTTTCCTCCTCTTCTTGTTGGCTTGTTTCAGTTTGGGGCTTGACAGTTTGTATTATTTGAGGGCTTTTGGCTTTTAGGCTAGGAGCTTTGAATGGTTACAGGCCCTTTGAAGTTTTAGGCTTTAGAAGGTTTTGAAAAGGTTGAGGGTTTGAATCAGGTAAGGCTTTGGTGAGGTTTGGATATTTTGAATGTTTCAGGCCATTGAGGTTTTTTGACTTTTGTTTGTGTTGTATAGTTTTGATGCAGTCTAAGGCTTATGCAGGTTGAATTTGGTTTGATGCTTCAGGCTCAAACAGGTTATGGCTTTTGAATGCAGGTTTACTGGTTTGATAGTTTAAGCTTTGGCTTGAAGCCTGATGCTTCAGGTTTGACAGGTTATCTGTTGTTAAGCTTGGGCTTCAGCAGGCTATAAGCTTGTTTTTTTGTTTGATACAGTTTGGTGGTATTCTCCCTTTGTGATATCTCTGCCTTATTTTTGTATTGTGTTATTACAGTTTGTTTTATATATTTCTTCTTCAAGCCTAAGCCTGTAAGCCTATCTTCTTTTCCTCTTTTCCCTCTCTCTTGACAGTTTTTTAAGCATTTAATATTGCTTAGATTTGTCCTTATTCTGAAAAGGTGACTGGTCTGAAAATGATGTAACTTTACATGCTTGCTTGCAATATTGGTTTACTCTGCATACTTTATCTCTTTCTCCAGCTTTCCTACATCTTTGTGATAGCATTTTGTACTTGTTTTGAATAGCCTTTTTGGCAGCTTGTGGAAAGTTTGAAATTGGAACTTTGTAGTTCTAGTTCAGTTCAGTTTGCCTTTGGATGAACTATGCAACTTTGTGCCTTTTTCAATTGATTTGGTTCCTTTGATTGAAAACTTGAAACTAGGCAGCATGTGTGACAATTATGAATTTGTGCAATCATACTTTTGTGCATTTCATTCTTAAATTGCAAAACATTCCATCCCTCTTTGTGAACCGAGAGAAATCTCGTGATTTGCAGAGAGGGCAAACTGATTCCGGCCAGTCGCCTTTAATGATGAATTTATTTTTATCTGTCTGTCTTTTAATTTTATCTGCTTTTGACTTCTTCTTTTCTTTTTTGCAGATAGAAAATCAAATGGAGAGGAGTAGCAGTAGAAGCTGAAGATTTGAAGACTTAGGAATATTTAGGATAGTTTTATTTCAAATTTAATCATTTGTAAAATTATTATTGTAAACAAAAAATGTAAATAAATTTACAATTGTTCGAATAATAATTTGTAACGAAACAATTAAAGATGAATAAAAATCCAATTTGATCAGTTAATTCCCTTTTTTTTTGCTGTCTATTTAATTATTTATAAATTTTTAAATTATAATAAATGGAAATAAATTCCAATTATCCTAACTTAGAATAAATAATCAATTAATAAACACTGTGGTTTTAGCATTAATCAATTAATAAACCTGGCGTTCCAATTATCAAAGCAATGCACAGTTAATCAAACCGAACGTCCACATACCTCTTTTCACTGATTAAATCCAAACAACTGCAAATTAACAATCAGCAGCCTCAGTCCTTATCTCAGAATAATTTGAAAAGCATTGATAGAACTAACTCTTTCTGAGAAATATGCGCGCAAAACCCTGATCTTTGACTTAACACTGGAGAAACGCCTGCCTGATCCAACTTTGAGCCAATTTAACCAAACCTTAGCAATCTGCCTGAACTGCTTTAAAATCAATGAAAACCCTAATTTTGATAGACTAATAAGAAAAGTCTGTTTGACCGATTCTTGAGCCAGTCTAAAAAAATCAGGAAAAGCCCGAAGCTGTGATTTCTTGTGGAAAAATACGAGGGAAAATTTTGGGGTACAACAATCAGCACAAGACTTCTTCGCCACATCCAACTCCTTGGAGAGCTTGGATTCAGAAGCCTGAAGATCTTCACAGCTTTGGGTGAGGGGTCTTAGTCTTTGAAACTTCAGCAACTAGACTCTTCTCCAAAGCAGAAACTTTATCAGCATATGACTTCTCACTGCCTGTCAACCGGTCGACATCCTTTTGTAGATCAGCACACCGATCCTCCAAGTCATCCCCAGATTCAAATAGTCCCCGGACCAGTACAACACAATGCATCAGGTAAGAACTCAAATGCTGAGTAATCTTCTAACGCCCAATACTCTTCACCTTGTTAACATCCTCGGTGGCGTTGAGGTGGTCGTAAAGGAACTTCAGCCCATCGAAACTGTTAGACCACAATTTATTCTCACTTAAAGGACGGGTGGAGCCGTCGTCGGGATCCTGCATTAACAACGAGATCTCTTGATCTGCCCTACAAACCTCATCTGACATCATCGTCTTCAGCTTTTTCTGGGATGGCTCAATAGCATCCTCAATGGTCGGGGCGACTTTGGCCGGTGATTAGGGCTCACTGATCATAACACCCGACCTCGAGACGGTCTATTTTTTCTTCTTCGACGACCTAAGCTCTAGAATGAAAATATCAGATTTAGCCTCTGAAGGGCCCCCGACTCCTTTCCGAGAGGCGCGAAGTGCGGCCATCAACTTCTTTTGCTCCCTAATGGAAAGACCAGTCATCTTATCGGAAAAAAGACATTAAAAGAATGAATGAGGAAAGAAGGAAAAGGTCCATGATTGGAGACCAATTAAAAATAATCTTACCCAAGAAATCCAGAACCTTTTCAACAGACAAACGTAATAGGTCCTTGACCTTAAACAAACAAAAATAATCTAGAAATTGCAAAGACTGAACCTCAAGATCACTTAGATTATCGTAGTTAAGCCTGGATACGGGTATAGGGTTTCCAGTCCAATATAATGGAAATTTGGGATGGCCGTCAGCGACATAGAGGATCTAGGGACACCTCGGGCCGTAACCAATACATAGGAATTGGTCCTTAAAACCTTTATAATTTGTGGTGTAAGCTTGAAGGAAGCTCCTACGAGGAACACCACTGATGGCGACTCAACTCCCAAATTCTATATTCTTAAATTCAAAATAAGAAAAAAAAATAGACCAATGGTAGGGGTCACCTCCAACACTTCACAAATCATTTCAAAAGCCTTAATAAAGCCCTAACTGTTAGGGAAAAGTTGAGAAGGGGCTACGTTCACCGTCCTCAGCACATCCACTTCGAAATCAGTGAAAGGAACACGGATAACATATCTTCCAACACCTCGGCATAAAAATAAAACCACTCGTTTGGTACTCCCTTTGGTCGGGACATACAGACTCGTTCACCAGGGATACACGCCTCTAGAACTACATCGTCCTCATTCCCAGCCGAGGACACATTTCACAGAGAGCGAAGCTTCATTATCTCCACCTCATTCATGGAGCTTTGATTATAACCTATCACCTGCTCACTAAAAGAGCTGGAAATTTCCATCAGGACCTCCACGGAACCTAAAGAATCGGGGTCAGAATCCTTTCTGAAGTAAAAACTTCACTATAAACTTTATTCATGAGCTGCGCATACTCATCTACGCCTAAAGCAACTCTCATCTCTTGCATGCACTCCTCCCATATGACTCTCCGCTCCTCATCACTGATGCGTATTTTATTTCCAAAATCACCACACTCTTTGATGATAACCATCCCCAAAGAAATAAAATATGCAGAAAAATAAAGGTAAAAGGAAGAGAAAAGATACCTGGTAACAATGGTCGATTGAAAGATTTGGGAAGAAACAGACGAGAACGCCTTCAAAGGGAAGTGGGAGACTCTTTCGGAAACGGAAAATGAAAGGGTTTTATAAAAGAAAAGTTACGGGAAATGAAACGCTCAAAGAAGAGGAAGCGTGTATAAACATTCAAATTTGGCCCCCGCAATGATTGTGCCTAGAGGACTAGGGGACTGTTGAGAAAACTAGGGTGTGGGTAACACACATGTCGTGGTATCATCGCCCGATCTTGGGGCATCAGCATGGAGCATAGATCCATTTCTACGTTGATCGACCATAAGGCTTGAGGTAAAAGCCATATGCTCGTGGGGCTTATGTTTATACATAGATCTATTGATCAGGCTAGATGAGATAAAAGACAAGGTGTGTAGGCAACCATCCGGTTACCAACCCGAATCGAATCCATAAAGCCTAAACCGAGTTGTATGATCGGAGGAGGATCATGTCACCGGACGCAGGAGAAGATGAAGAGGTAGCAGTCGGGTTCATACCCCGGATCCAGAGGTCACCCCGTGTTCGGTCTTAAAAGAACCGTTACGCAATGGCCGACTCATTAAGGGCGTAACCGCTCATCATTATACAATGGCGAATGTTATGATAATAGCCATCATTGGCGACGACATGCGTTACTGGCCTTAAAGGCAACTCAGTTACGTAATGTGGAAAATCATGACAGTTACAGGCAGTGATCATTAAGGTCCACACACCTTTATAAATATGACTCTTGTAAGCCTCCGAATCCCTTAATATAATACACAAAATAACTTGTGTAAGCCTCCGAATCCCTTAATATAATACACAAAATAACTTTGTTCATTAAAACCTTCTCTAAAGTCCTTGAGTTCGTAGAAAAGTCATCCTTAATATTTAACAAAAACACTTTCATTTAATTCTTCTTATTTTTCAAAACTCATATTTGTTTCCCTCCAAATCTTAAATAAAATTTTAATATCTATTTTGAGTTGTGGTATTTTTGAGGCCACTGTCTGTTAGACTCTTTTGTTAAAAAAAATAAAAATCAAACAGTGACTTGGCATAAGAGCAGCAATATCCCGGTGCGAAAGAAGAGTTAGAGTGAAGACTAAGACGGACTAAATACAGAAAAAAAAACCCAAACACAGGATGAGGTCGGAGGTCTATATATATATTACTTCCGTCAGAAGAAAATAGTCTTCTGTAATTCTGGACTTAGACACTTCAGCAGACATTTCTGGAGCTGACTTAAATAAACAATGCTGCGATCCCGGCGGCGGTCCCCTTACGGCGCCTATTTCTGCGCCGTAATCTCCGCCGTCCTCCTCCTTCTCTCAGTCTCTCTCCTCTACTCTCGTCTTTCTCTCTCCCACTCCGATTCTCCCTCCAACCCCCGCACTCTCCTCTCCGACACCACCGACGACTCCGATCTCTCCACCTCCGATCCCATCGACGAACTCGACTTCATCGACCTCGACCAACAACAATCCCAACCTCTTCACACCAATCCTTCCTCTTACTTCTTCGATCCCATCACATCCTCCATCAGAAAATCCTTCAAATCCCCTTCCATTTTCTCACACTCCATCACCACCACCACCGACACCGACGACTTCACCGTTTTCTCCACTTTCTCCCCTCCACAAGATCCTTCCAACTCCGCCTTCACCTCCGACGACATTCCCCTCGACGATAACATCAGAAACAAAGCCACACTCATCACATCAATTGAGGATTTGCTTCTTCTCAAATCATCTTCCTTAAGACAAGTCTGGGGTGAATGGTTTGACAAGAAAGGTCTCTTTCTCAGAAAAGACAAAATGTTGAAATCCAGTTTCGAAGCTTTCAATCCAATGCTCACTCCTCTGCTTCAAGATCCTGACTCAGTCGGCGTCTCTACACTCACCAGAGGTGACAAAATCCTCCATAAATGGTGGATCAATGAGTTCAAGAGAGTTCCGTTTTCTTTTTCGCCTCACAAGAACACTAATAAAAATGGTAAATTAGTAACCATTGCGAAAGGTGGAACGGAACGAAGGACTTTGAATGATAATGGTGATGCTGCTGAGTTTTTGAATCATCATCAGCATATTTATGCTGATGGGAATAATTGGGGTTATTTTCCTGGTTTGCCATCGCGTTTATCGTTCAATCACTTCATGGATTCTTTCTTCAGAAAGGGTAGATGTGTCACGAGGGTTTTTATGGTGTGGAATTCACCTCCTTGGATGTTCACAGTTCGGTATCAGCGTGGTCTCGAGAGTTTGTTATTTCACCATCCTGAAGCATGTGTTGTGGTGTTCTCGGAAACAATTGAGCTCGATTTCTTCAAAGATAGCTTTCTTAAGGATGGGTAATTATGTTGTTTCTTCAATTTCATGTTCTTAAATTTGGTCTTCTTTGCTAATGAATAAGGATTTTGTTTTTGCAGTTACAAAGTCGCGGTTGTTATGCCAAATCTTGACCAGCTCCTGAAGGGTACGCCTGCCGACATTTTTTCTTCTGTTTGGTTTGAATGGAGAAAGACTAAGTTTTATTCCACTCATTACAGTGAGCTTATTCGTCTTGCAGCTCTGTATAAGTAAGTTTTCCTTGTGTTGGCTTGTATTAGTAGATATCAAATGCTTGTTTGTTATTGTAAGCTGATTTTGTGGGTGGATGGATGGTCTTTACTTCAGCTTTGCTGTATGAGTTGAATATTTTGCGTGTAGTCTTGTCAAATAGCGACACTACAATGCTGTAAAATAGCGGATTTTAATAAATCCGCTATGAAAGCCTTGGCGCTATCCTAGTTTTGCTATTAGGGATTTAGCATTCGCTTTTTGAGTTTCTCGCGGCAAAAAGAAAAAAGAGAATTTGAGGGTTTTAAATGAAGAAAAATTTGAGAGTTAGTCAGCATTACTCCTATATTCACTGTGATGTGCATGCAGCATTTCTTTATGTTTTATATAATCGACTTATTTTAACCACTACACAGATTTTGCAATTTGTTCAGAATGTTATTTGCAATTTCACATTGCGGATTTTCTATTTTCTACAATTTGCTGTTGAAAATACTATTCATGTGTTTACTTATTGGGATATGCATTAAGATTGTCTTCTGTTTTATCAGGTACGGTGGGATTTATCTAGACTCTGATATCATAGTTTTGAAGCCAATTTCTTTCCTTAATAACTCTGTTGGAATAGAGGATCATGCTGCTGGAAGTTCTTTGAATGGTGCTGTGATGGCTTTCGGAAGGCACAGGTATTGTTAGCGTGGTTTCTATAGTGCCAGAATGTTTTCTTTTTGTAAACGTGATTTCCAAGAAAGCAATTAAAATGAAAATTGCGAATTTCATATTCACAATTCTATGATGTTTGATTTTTTCTCTTCACAACAAAGAAAACCACTTTTCATGAGAAACAGTTTCCTACCTACATGAGTAAAGCTTGGAAAGTACATTCTGTTCGTTAGCATCAATATGAGGTTAAGCGGATGCTGGAAATTTTGAATATGAAATTCTAATTAGCGAGTTCTTGAATTTTATTTTTCAATATAGCCAATGACAGTTTTACAAATACAAATAGATTCGAAAATATCATTTTAAAAAGTTCGAGATTAATTTATGGATATTCTGGTTTAAATTATGTGCTGCCGTGCCCTTTTATAACCAATTTGAATTTGAATGGTAGATTGATAGGGAAAAATATAATTAATTTATTCGTTTAGTATGTGGCATTATGTGAATCCCTTCTTTGTTCTATGCAGTCTGTTCATAAAGAAATGCTTAGAAGAGTTTTATATGACATATGACGATCACAGTTTGAGATGGAATGGAGCTGATCTATTGACAAGAGTTGCACGAAAGTCTGTAGGAGAAGAGAACAAAACTATTAAACGGATGGAGTTGAATGAGGAACCCTCTCATATCTTCTTCCCCATCAATTCTCAGGACATTACAAGGTAACTTGATATTTCTCTCGGTTGGTTAGGAATATATTTGAGATAGGGTTGATTAGAAATACATGTGGAGGCATTCAATTCTAATTTGGACTTTGGAGAGTAACCCTGCCTTGTCATTTTGTTTAGTTTTGCCTTTGTATTCTCGTCCCTTAACTAAATTATAAACCTGCAAACAGATACTTCCTTGCACCAGCAACAGAGGCGCAGAAAGCACAGCAAGATGTTTTACTTGAAAAAATACTGCACGAGTCATTGACATTTCACTTTTGGAACAGCTTGACTTCTGCTCTCATCCCAGAACCTGATAGCCTTGTGGCCAGGCTTATGAATTATGCATGTATACGATGCTCGGAGTTACTGTAAATGCCAAGTTATCCCAAAGTTGCCTTGAAGTCATAATGCAGCTCTTCATATGGCATCTTGGAGTCATGTGCATATACTTTTTAATGCCGCTGTACAATTGTGTTGTATATTTATAGTTAAGTAATGGGTTGAACTCCTATGTTAAAAGAGCTAAAAAATATAGTAAAACCTTTGTAAATAATGGCCAGTTATGGAATGTTCATACGTTACAACTAACAATGTAGATGTCTTAGAGATGCAGTGACTCTTCACGGAACGGTTTTGATGGAACTGAGTGTAGCTGATATATTTTATTTGTCGAAGAAATAAGATCAATAGTAGTACTAATATGTTCAAATAAATATGTGTTTCGTTCATGTCGAAACATTTGGGAGATCTTTATCAATAGCTATTAGCTAATTGCTCACACATTCAAGCAATAGCCACATTCTCATGTTCTTAAGTCTCCTTGAGACATTTCTTTTAGGCTGAAATACATCTTTGGCCCTTAACTTATTATCTTCAGAACCGGTCAATTTGATCTCTTAAAGCAATTTGGTTCCTTAATACAACTTAATTCTTTAATTTATATGAAAACAAAACTTCTATGAACAGCTCAAGTGTGAGTAGTTAAGTTTCACATTACATATAAACGAGTAAAATGTTAGATTTATAAAAAAGATAACTTACATTTTAAGATTTTTCATGAAAATATGAGTCTTCCTCTCTTGTGTTTTTAGAGCGTTGGTCTTGTAGTTGTCCCCACTTCTATTGGTCTCTCCAACATATATTGCTTGCATTCAGAAATTGTATACAATTTCTTCTTTATATTTTATTCAACTCCTCTTTTGTTAGCCAATCTTGCTTTGAATAATTCTCTTTTAACCAACCTAATATACTAACTACTTAATCAAATAAATACTTTATTGAGTTTTAATATTTGTATTTAACTATCATACCTAATTTTTATTATTAACTTTTTGTCCTCTTAGTGATGGAATTATGAATCTATTTATAAGTGAATGCATTTTTTTCAATAATTCTTCTCAACAGTACAGTGGAACTGGTGTCTATTGGAGTTTGTGCTGATATGTGTTGGTCACGATGACATAACAATCTTAAGCTACTCTAAAAATATACATTTAGTACTAAAATTGATTTTTCTTTCTTTGTTTCTCAATTGAAACTTTACTTTACTTATATTTTACATAAAGCATGTTCTGTCCAAGATCACTGCTTCTCCCCAAAAGCTCCTTTACCCTCTCTTTCTTCTCCCACCGTTTCACCTGTAACTACAAGGTAAAGAAATAACACTGCACCTTATCTTTCTCTTTTCCTTTCAGGTTGCAATAATAATAAATGTTATTATATATTGTTAAAATTCATTATTAATGCATGTCAAATTTGTTGACTTTTATTTGCACTAAACATCTATATTTCACAGATTCTTGCTTCATATTATATATGCTTTTCTGGGTATAATTGATTAGGCAATTAGATTGTGAAAGCTCTTATTGAGTTGATGATACTAATAATTGATTCAAATATATGATCATTAATTGAAGATTTTTCTAATCAAGTTTCAAGTTTGAACTTATCATGAAATTTATCACTTGTCCAAAAGATAAAAACTTCACTTGAAACTGAACAAAAGGTGTTACTAGTATTTTTTGTGGCTTTCATTCTTTGAAGGTTTTCTGCTGTTTGTGATTCTTGATTAAAATACCTTTTGCTTAGCATTAGAATATTGTTGAAATGGCGCGATCTTCGTTGGATGAGATATCCGACTCAGGAGCGTTCGCGAGATCTGCTTCCACATTCCGACAATTCGTTTCGAGGGATCTTAATTCCCAATTTCCAGCTGAATCAGGAAGATACCATCTCTACATATCATATGCTTGTCCTTGGGCTTGCAGATGCCTAGCTTATTTGAAGATCAAAGGACTTGACAAAGCCATCAGTTTCTCGGTTCGTAGGTTTTTTTTTCTTTTTTTGCTTAATATTTGCAAGTAGAATGATTTCAATTTTCAATAGTTCCTTCTAGAAATTTCATATCATGCACGTTTAATTAACAGGCGGTTAAACCGATATGGGGAATAACGAAAGAATCAGATAAACATGTGGGATGGGTTTTTCCCGAATCGAATACCGAGGTTCTTGGAGCTGAACCCGATCCCTTGAATGGAGCAAAGAGTGTTAGAGAACTATATGAAATCGCAAGTACAAATTACACCGGAAAGTTCACTGTTCCAGTAGGTTTTCTGATTTAGAATAGACTTGTTTATTTCTTAGCTTTTCTGATCTGCTTTGCTCAACAGATGTTTATTGTTAGCTAATGGATTTTGATCTGCACAGATTCTGTGGGATAAGAAACTCAAGACAATTGTTAACAATGAAAGCTCGGAGATAATCCGCATGTTTAATACCGAATTCAACAATATCGCAGAGAATCCCACCTTGGACTTGTATCCAACTGAATTGAGAGCCCAAATTGATGAAACGAATGAGTGGACATATCATGATATAAACAACGGTGTTTATAAATGTGGATTTGCAAAGAAACAGGAGCCATACGTCGATGTATGTAGCTCTTCTACCTTAAAAAAATTTAGGTGTAGTTCATACTTTTAACGTTTACATTCATTACGCATTTAAATGTGTGTGCTCATTTGGTTCTTTGTTCAGGCTGTTAGTCGATTATATGAAGCTTTGGACAAATGCGAGGATATACTAAGCAAGCAACGCTATATATGTGGCAACAAGCTTACCGAAGCAGACATTCGTTTATTTGTCACACTCATTAGATTTGACGAGGTAAAGTGTACGAACGTGTGAGGAAAGTTTCATGCTGTGCATGCATTATGCAAATCGCCTAATCTATGAACATTAAGTTCCGATGTTTTGATTTTTGGGTAATTAGTCATGTGGTTGTAATTGCAGGTTTATGTGGTTCATTTTAAGTGCAACAAGAAACTACTGCGGGAATACCCGAATATCTTCAATTATACCAAAGACATTTTCCAAGTTCATGGCATTAGTGGAACGGTGAACATGGAACATATAAAGTTACATTACTATGGAAGTCATCCTTCTATCAATCCATTTGGGATCGTTCCTGTCGGACCAAATATCGATTATTCTGCTCCTCATGACAGAGAAAAGTTTCCTGCTTAGGTTGTTTGTTTGTCAAATTTGTAATAAGGGATATGAAACTTCAGTTTCTTTTGAGGCCTTTTTTTGTTGAAGTGTTGCAGAAATTCCCTTGTTTTGAGGAATGAAATATTTTCAAAATAAAAGTGAGACAAATTGGTGTGTATGCTTTAATGTTATAATGTATCTCTAGTTGGGCTTGCATTGATTCAATCTGTATGTTATGAGCAATTTTCTTGTATCAAATCATGCAGACATATATACTACGTCATTTGCATCTGAAAAGGTTATTAGAGCTTTGCTAGAAGTATTCAAGATTTTAAGATAATTTCCTCTCTATGGTACTTATCATTATCTGGAACTAGTTTTGAATTCTAAATATCAATGGTAAGATGTTAGAATTAGAAGATAAAGTAAATATTTTAGGTAAAATTCAAAACAAAATATATGACCGAGTTAAATGTAGATGGACAGATTGAGAGACTAACTAGGGAACAGTAAGAATTTAAAGAAAAAATAAATAAATTTTGAAATATATTCTTGTAAAAAACTGTTATGGCTGCCCAAAGCGTCCAATAACTACGCCTAGAAAGCAAAACAACTCACTAAACTACGAGTGGAACAGGTGCATCTATAGGAGACAGTAGGTAATCTCAATCCAAGATCAATCAGACGGATACATGTACCTTACGCCAATAGATTAGTAAGTTGTTATAGCTACCCTATTATATAAAGGGAAAACACGGCTTTTCTCAAGTAATTCGAATTCAATTCTCATTCACTTCATCTTACTCTCATATTGATTTGAGCATTAGGGTACTAACCTTGTTGATCAAATCCTTCCCCACTGTACCGAAAGCTCGAGTCCACTGTTGTGATTCACATACATCGTTCAAGATCAGTTATGGTTCCCGCACAATGACGTCATCTGTGGGAATCAACATCTAATTCTCGCATTTATCACATTCGAATATTTATCTCCCGATTCACTAAATTGGAGCTTCATCGACCTAGAAATTTAGATATCTAAATATGAACGGTAGGTCTCTGATTTCAATCCTTTCCGATTATATATTAGTATCATTGCTCATATTTCCTTCTAGATCCATTTGTGATGTCAAGTTCTAGTGCTACTCGCTGCATTGCACAACACGAAGCAACCATAGCCGATACTTCTCGAGCTGCCATAGATTCACCATCTCTCCCTCAAAATGGTGACGATTAAGTCCTTGTGGATTTTCCATATACACCACCGCCTAAAGACCATGTCCACCCTAGGACATCTCAAGGAGTTCTTCAACATCTGTCATTCTTAGGATCAACTCCTTAACATAGACCAAACGAACCATCGTTCAGGTCTCTAGCACCGTCAGCGGTACCTAGACCGAAGCATTCCATGGTTTCTAGATGTTGCAAGCTAACCTTGTTATACAAGGTGATGATGAACTAATGGACATCGTTTACAATATGGTTCAACAACATAATTCACAAGTCGTAGAAGAAAGATTACTCTACATCGAAGAAAGCCTGCATTATGAAAATCAGAAGAGCAACACATTACACGTATCCATTTACTAGAGGAATCAAACCCCCATCCCAGAACCTGGAACATCTCGTCGAGAAGCAGCTCCAAGATCTTCAGGTAACCAAAAAGCCAAATCAAAAAACACCAAACTCCTTCTCCCAGTCTTAAAGGAGGAATGGACAATCACACTCCTTCTAAGTCTGTCGCCTTCAGAGGGAGGAAGAACTAGAGGAGCGGCCTCCAGTCAAAGTGCGATAAAAGCATCCTCTTTCGGTTCGTATTTGTTGTACCCTAAAATTTTCCCTCCTATTTTCTTCAAGATATTCTCACGAGGTCCCCATTTGCT